TTTGTATTGTATTATTAGGTATATGACAAGTAATTTGAGAACTATTCATTTTATTAAAATTCGCATAGGATCCCCTGGAAACTTATTGATAGAATTAATCCTCGTTGCGGCAGAACGCAACCAGAAGGTCGATGAGGTAAATGTAATATAATGTTTATAATTTATTTTTATATAAAGAGTGATCATTTTACCGTGAACCACTCATTATCACATTGGCTTTAATTAGTTACATTAATAATTACATTTGTTTTTTCATACTGTTTTTATTTTTCCACAAATTGGTATGTTCCTGCACCCCCTCCCCCTTCTCAAACTAATTATTCTTATACCAACTTTTGAAACTAAAATGGTAATGCATAAATTTCATTAAATTTTTAAATTGAGAATAATGTACTAAAAATGTTGACAAGTTTTAGATTAGAATAATACTAGATAGAAGTTACTTAAATTTCAAGTTTAGGGCAGGGGGAAAGATGGAATGTGAAAGTATTATTTTTATTTGCTCGCATTTCCTAACCGCTCTTTTCATCCCGTCGTAACTATTAAACTCTTTTAACTTTTAAAATAGTTGTTCAAAAATAGTTACCAACCAGTCAAAACTTTTGGTAAAATATTCCCAGTATAAAAAGTTTATGAAATGTATGCGGTACCATTAAACCTTCAAAAGTTAGAATAAAAACAGTTGGTTTCTTAAATGGATGGGAACATGAAAATTTGCGAAAAAACGAGATCACATATTATAAAAACACTCTAAATAAAAATTTGACTTAATGAGGTTAAGCTTGAGTGGTTCACGATACAATGATCACACTGTATTTCAAAGTTCTTCGCTGTTATGTCCGTTGAAGAACTATCTCGCCTACTATTTAATAATAACTATTATACATTTTTGCGTTAACAATTATTTAGAAATCACCGGTATTAAGTCTATGCGAGGTCGTATCTGCCATAGGAAAATTCATTGATCTCGACGTTATCAAAGACGGTGTACTGAAGCCTGATGAGTATGCTAACTTCGTGAAAAATGCAAAAGAATGTTTGGAAGGGTCGGCACAACATTATTTAGGAAAATTCGATGGTGAAATTAATTTAAACCGCGTTAAAATGACTCAACTAACGACGTTGATGTTGGTCATCTCTTGTTTAAAAAAAAAATTAATTTTCCTTTTTTAGGTATTCATAACATACACATTGCGGAGTACATGCAAGTTGTATCTTTTATTGCAAAACATACCGGACACTGCCCCTTTGCCGCTAGACAGAAGCTCCAACGAAGATAGAACTCACAAGCTACACCAATATTGATTGGTCGAGTTCGACGACCATAATGATAAAAATAATAATACTTTACTTAAAACATTTTTATGTGTATATTAAAAATTGTAATATTACGCTCATCGGTGTCTATGATTATCTTAATTCTATTAATCAATAATTACAAACGAAACAAAAAAATCAGTACCTAAATTTTTTTTGTTTTCAATTTAATTAAATAATCTATTACAATTTATTGCACTACATTCTCACAATACTGTAAGCACTTATATTCTATAAAAAAATATTGTCTCAATCTAACCGTTTTTCGCAAAGATATAATTTCACCTTAGATATTTGTCGAATGTAAGTACCTAGTTCATTTTCTTGAACATTTTTTAATTTTTAAATCTAAATGTGATATTATCACGATCAAAAGCTTGGGTGCGAATCTGAAAAAGTAAGAGATGACTTAGATGCCATTCTAAAAAAAGTAGATATTAAGTAGAACATAAACCTGCACAGTTTAAACCAGCACAGTCCAAACCAAGCACAATCAAAACCAACCCAGTGAGCCAAGCACAGTAGAAACCTACTCAAAGCGAAGTAGTGGGATGGTATTTTGGTCTGAGAATAATAATTAATAAAGGCATGCCTCTTAAATGATTAAATTCCAACAAATGTTAACGACCTTGTCAGAGATCTGCGTAGCTGAAGAAAAATGTAGCTTTAATAATCAATTTTTTTTTTAATTCATATTTTTTATCTTCTCTGATCATTCTTTGAAATGAGCTTAGAATCAAATTTTTTATCTCTTATAGTTTAAAAGAAATTAAAAAATTAGGCGGTACCTGTTAGTGCCTCTTGGCACAAAATAATGTTATTCGGTAATGACTAGAAACTAATAAGGTAATGTTGTGTGAGCTGGTTAGTTAAAGCTTATGAAGAGTATAATATTATGGTAACTAAAATGTTTTATTATAACAACAGTTTATATATCACAACAATAAAAATGAACAGTTAATATTAACATAGAATGAGCCACTGTGGCTGACTAGATAATAAACGATGGTTGAGCCTATGCCTATCGACCAACTTTCGCTGAATAAAAGAAGAGATCATAAATGTGTTCTAATAATTCACAATAGGTGCCTTCATATAGTAGTAGTTAGACAGTAGTAAAAATAATATTATTGCATTTTGTATTTTTATGGCATGGAACATACTTAACTAGATACTCTATTGAATTTCAACAAATTTGTATTAAATAATAGGTACATATAGGTATCACATCGATATTATTATTATTTTTTTTTTTAGATGTATAATACAGTTAAAAAATTGTTTTTTTTTTTTTTAAGAACTTGCTATTGTAATAGGGAAACTGCAGATGTTCTTCTAATGTATTTTGTTTACTGCCTTAATTTTTGTACTGCATGTATATGAACGAAATAATACAACAAATGTTTAAAAAACAATTGTATTTGTCTAGCAAATGGCCTGAATCTAAAGCATATATAAATCTAGTTTTGATTAGGTATCACGGTGTAATCGAATGTAATACCTAAGAACATAGCAATATATGTTTTTGCAAACATTGTTTTTTTGTGCTTGTGTCAACGAAACACCAAAGACGCGAACAAAAACACTTTTCTACTGTTTATCCGTCGTTCGTCTTTGGCGTCAACAGTACAGCTAGGTATTATTACAAGAAGTATTCGATTGAAATTTGATTATTATTTAAAAAAACAACCAAAACTATGCATAATTTCAAGAGAGCACTTATTGTCTGTGCGGTGCATTTTATAACGTCGGCGTGGGTAAGAGTGTATGATACTGTATATTTATGAATGTCTCGGATGTAATAAACTGATATATAACATAAATGCTGTTATATAATACTAACAAAATATGTGTGTAAATCTGCCACGTCATCGGAAATAGGTTCACTCAGTAAGTTTACCAATACAATTGACAGTCATCATACTTTATTTTAGAGCTACGGACTGAACAGTGATCAATTGAATCAGTTGAATAACCTGTTTGAGAACCACAAAACGTCTACCGGCGAAGTTAGGGAGAAGCAAATCGCAGACGTCGTGGAGGAAATCTTTGGAATAGAATGGGAAATAATTCTAGATGACTTTAGATACGTGTCGGGTATGATAAACAGTTGTTATATTACCAATTGTTTGGACAATTAAAGTCGACCGTTATGGCCGTTAAGGGCTTCGCACTTAGTTAATTAATATTTGTTGACCTTAATGGATAATACCGGCCGATTCTTTTAACATGCTACAATAGTTTACTCTTAAGAAGCTCAATAGTTTACTCTTAAGAAAATTGAAATTTTCTAGTATTTCCTTTCTTTTGAAATCTTTTTGTACACATGCTTTAGCACGATATTAGAAAATATTCAAACTTTTATCTTTTATAGTCTTTGGTGAAGCTTTATTTTATAGTGAGAAAAACATAGCAGGAAACACAAGTCTACTTCCGGCCAAGTAAACTAAAAATTCGTTTTTTTTTACTAGTTTAATATGTAGGCAAAATTTATACATACAATCACTATGATATAATCACTAAGGGTATAACCGAGAAGATTTTATTTTATATTATATTATTATCTTTATGAGTGCCAATATTTTTTTAATAACATTTTTGAGTACTTAAGAAATGCATCAGTATAATATGTGAATGTAAAATGTAGTATTTGTAATACAATTGCAAATCATAAACACACTACAACAGTACAAAACAATAATGTTTTAGGCAAAAAGCTATCGTTACAACTGTTTTATTAAAAGCGAATGATTTAATTATTAACAACTTATCAATTTGTATACAGATGAATCCGATTCTACAAATCTTTATTTCTTATTGACAACTTTGGCGCAACAAGACAACAAAATATCCGACGACATTGAGGTATTCGAAGGCTTTAATCAACAAGTTTAAACTCTTAATAAAATATATACCAAGTATTGGCAAATATCGAGAACGAAATTTTTTTTAAATTAGGTATTATTTTTCATAATTTTACCAGAGAGCTATAAATTAGCTGAAATTTCATATATTTTGCAACAATATAACCCTATCTCTTATGTGTTAAACCCCTATGATGAATTAAAAATTTAGGATAGTTTTTTTATTCGGGGTTATTAATTAAGCATAAGACACTCATTCATTTTAAATTCAAAAGTCAAAAAGCGGTTGAGTGATATTGAACATTTTAATCTTTAAAAGTAGTTGCTCAAAATTGGGTTTCGACCAGTCGAAATTTGTAGCAAATAATTTGCTATTTTAAAAAATAATTAGCTCGCATACGTTACCGTACATCGTTAATATATAAGTTCATGACTTTACTCATAAGGGATAGTGTTTATTTCTTTTTTTTTTATAGAAAATGTGATCAAAAAATTAGGTTAACTGTAAATTGTAAAAGAATAATTTTAAAAAGTATTTTGAAAGATAATGGCTGGGGCCATTGTTGTTATAAGCAATCACCCTTTATGCATAAATTGTTTTCAGGTTAAAAGGCTTACGCCTTTTGAAGTAGACTTTTTCTTGAAGGAGTTCGGTATATGCGCCAAATATTATGATCAACCGGAATATCTTACTCTTGAACAGCTGTCGGAAGCATTCAGATATTGGAGAACGATAAGTTTTGCATTGAACCAAAAATTAAAAAAACTTAAAACCGAAAAAGGCGGTAATGCACACCAGCCGAAAAGGCGGTTCCCTACTTCTAATTCAGTTTCAGACAACTCTAAACGAGACAGCCATATAGTTAATGCTTCCGACTTCTTATTGATCATGTTGGAAATAAAACCAGATGTAAGTGCAATACTCGAAATGAAATTTTAAAAAGTGGGGAAAATAAAATCTGTAATCGGAAGAGAGGTGGAGTCATAAACTTTAAATTTAAACAACAAAAGTAGTTGTCCTAAAATGGTTGTTGAACAGTCATAATTTTCTTAAAAAATATTCAATAGAACAAAAGTTTTTTTGCCTGTCAAATTCTTGTGGGATAACCTGTGCAGATAAACTGCTGATATCATCACAATTTGTACTGTCGAATACCATGCAAGACATTATTAATTGTCCATATTTCAGCTTTAATACTTCTTTTTTTTTTAATTGCTAAAATTTTACTATTAGTCTAGGAATGTGGAGTTTTGGGGATTTATTGTTTGAATTATTGATCTTTGGAAGGAGGATGCTTGTTTTAATACTTTTATCATACATTGTAGGGCCGTGGTCTGACTCTAGCACAGGTAGGTAAGTTTTCTGGTTTACACGAAACACATAAGAGAGCAACCGGTGGCATTAATCCTTTTGCAAGTAGAAAAGTGTTCGAAGAGCTTGGCATAACCATAAACAGTGAATTGCAGGTGCTATTTGAAACCGTCCGTAAGAATTATTTTTGTGTTGTGTTATTAGATAAATGACAAGTAATTTGAGAAATAAAAACTATTAATTTTATTAATATTCGCACAGAACCCGCTGGAAAATTGTTGATTGAATTAATCCTCGCTGCGGCAGAACTCAACAAGGATGTCGGTGAGGTAAATGTAATATCGTTCATTTTTTGACATTTTCATGTCTAAGCTCTGGCACATAACCGAAAAAAGCGTTACCATAAAAGCGTTACCAAAAGAGCGTTACCTAAAAAGCGTTGCCAAAAGAACGTAACGAAAAAAGCGAAAGGGTTGAAGATGAGGTGGGTATAGGAAAGGGGTGGAATTAGCTATGGCAAATAACCGAAAAAAGCGTTACCAAAAGAGCGTTACCACACGAAGATGGGTTGGAGGTGGAAATAGGGGTAGGAGATAAGGGGTGGGTGTGGGATAGGGTTGGGTTGGGGACAGGGGTAGAGGTGGGATATAGGGGTAGGGGATAGGGGTGAGTGATAGGGGTAAGATATAGGAGATAAGAGATATGATGTACGTTCAACGTTCAAATTAGAACTAAATAATAAATTCAAAACAGTTTAATTCTCTATATATTAAACTATGTTAAGTTACTTTTGGCCAGATAATAAACACTACAATTTTAGCCAGAAACATGATTGTCCATAATTTTTTAATCTCCTTGGCTTATGCTGTAACTGGAAGCTCCATGTAATTTTTTTTTTTTAATTATAATTCCACAACTAATCTATATTTATTCGGTACTTCAACGGGACATGAAAATGCTCTATCGTGGTTGCAGACTCGGCTGAAAAACTTTTTTGTTTTATATATAGAGTGATCATTTTATCATGAACCTCTCAATATCTCATTGGTTTTAATTAATAATTACATTTTTTTTTCACACTGTTTTTATATAAAATCTCAATTTTCCACAAATTTGTACATCTCTACACCTCTTTCCCCTCTCAAACTAATTATTCTTAGACCAACTTATAAGACTTATATGCGTTACTGTTAAAGTTTCAAAAGTTGATGTATAAATAATTAGACCTTATGAGGTATTGAGTGGTTCACGATAAAATTATCACCCTGTATTTCAAAGTTCTTCGCTGTTATGTTCGTTATAGTACTATTTGCTTACTAATTAATAATTATATTACATTTCTACGTAAACAATTGTTTAGAGATCAAGAGTATTAAGTCTTTGCGAGGTCGTAATTGCCATACAGAAATTCAATAATCTGGACCTGATCAACGACGGTGTACTGATTCCTAAGGAGTACGCCAACTTCGTGAAAAAGTCAAAACAAATTTTGAAATGGTCGACAAAACCTACTGAAAATGCGCTACGTTATTTAATGAAATTCGATGGTGAAGTTAATTTTAACATCGTTAAAATGTTTTAATAAATGACGTTGATGTTGGTCGTCTCTTGTTAAAAAAAAAATTATTTATTTTCCTTTTTTAGGTATTAATAACAGAAACATTGCGGATTACATGCAAGTTGTATTTTTCATTGATAAACATACCAAACACTGTCCCTATGCCACTATACATTAGATCCGTTGAAGATAGTACTCACAAGCTTTAACAACATTAATCGGGCATGTTCAACGACCATAATGATAGTGATAATAATATTTTAAACATTTCTATGTATTTATTAATAATTTAAATACTACGTTCCTCGGTGTCTATGTTTATCTTATTTCTATTAATTAAAAATTACAAACGAAAAAAATTCAGTACCTACATTTTTTTGTTTTTATTTAACTGAAAACCTATTATATTTTATTACGCTACATTTTTACTGAGTTTGGTTCACGCACAATTTTAAATCTAAGTGTGATATCATCACAATCAAACGATTAGATCTGAAAAAAGTAAGAATCCAGCAGATCATAAACCTGCAATGTCCAAACCAACAACAATCAAAACTAGTACAGTGTTAACCTAGCACAGTTTAAACCTATTCCAAGAGAAGTGGTGGGATGATATTTTGGTGTGAGAATATTTATTAACAGTGACATGTCAACAAATGTTAAAGACCTTAAACTACAATAGCCGTTCATCGATGTCAAAGATCTGCGTGGCTAAAGAAAAATGCAGCTTAAATATTTAATTATTTTTTGTTAATTCATATTTTGTATCTTTTTGTAGAGCTCTTTGAAATGAGCTTAGCATCAACTTGATAAATTATAATAAAATAAATGAACAGTTAATACTTACTGAGCCTATGTCTAACGACCTAACTTACACTGCATAAATGATAAAAGAAGATATCATACATTTCTTCTAATAATTCACAATAGCTACCTTTGTATATCAGTAGTAGATATAATATTATTATATTTAGTTGTGCCTTCTACTGAAATTCAAAAAAATAAAATTTACTAGATCGTAGTTCACTCACATTCGCTGTGTTTTTTTTTTTTGCGTTTGTGATTCGGCCTAAACTTGTGTCATTTATTGTGTCGTTTACGTTTGTGAGAGGCTCTTGTTTTATTTTGAACAGTATGTGAGATATTGAAAAATTCCTTACTTGGTTGCGTTATCAGCCCTGGATAATGGATGTCTACTATGGCTTGTAAAGTTTGGCAAATTGTGCCTATTTGCATGTGCTTTTGATGCTTCAGTCGTATGAAGAGCATTGCTGATTCATCTATAACTAGGATCTAGTTTTCGGCTAATTGACGAGATATTTCCAACACCCACGGTCCGCAAATCATGATTGTTTGATTGCAGAAGAGTGTAACCGTATTCGATTTTCCAAGTTGTGAATTCTTGGACTATGGACAGTGGCTCGGTGTTGTCATAGTTCTGGCCATCCTAGCCAATTATCATGGTGTTCGGTTGGTGAACAACTATTAAGATCCAATGACAGTTTTGTACCCATGTTTGTAGAAATATACATTATGTCTTACTGAAAATCTTGTCATTAATCCGGCGTGACATGCCTTCCACGTTCCTCAACCGTAAGGTCACGGTAAAGGCTGGTGTCACATTTCTGGTGTTGTTCAGTAATCAAATGTATGTAATCTTCCACCGTTTGGCAAGAGTACCGCGAACGCGGTGATTCGAAAGACATGTCAATTAACGTTAGAATTGCTGTAAGCCATCTTCAGTTATAACCACATTTTGAATGAATTTCAGAGCGGTTCCCATATAACTGATATCTCCTGTTGGAAAAATAAAAACATGTTTATAATCAAATTTTTTTAATGTTCGCAAATAGTTCTAGTGTTTTTTTTTATATACCATAGGAGAAACTTGTTTGGGCATCAGTTTTCTATTATACCCCTTAGGTACCTAAAGGTTTGACATTGGTAACTGGGGTGGGGGAGGGATGGGGTACACAAAAATTTTTAATTTAAATTTTTTTGATTGTATAACATTATTTTGGTCACATGCTAAATTTCAAGTTTTTTAAACCCCTAATCTTCATCAAAATCCATTTTTAATATTAGAAACTAGACTTTTTTTTACACGACTAATTTTTAGCTCTTAAATCGTTTAAATCATGTTTTACGATTCGGCAAACATTTGTATTGCAACACGTACATTTTACCTTCTACTGAAATACAAAAGTATACTAAATCGTTATTCATCCTGAATATTTTCAAGACATATAAAAATCTAGAAAACTCTCCACTGAATAAACTCATTACCTTTAAGATGTAACGTTTAATACGAACATAACAGTGTTTTATACATTTTAAACACTGATATCAATTTTATCCGATATCCAGATAATAAAATTCGGTTATCAAAATAGCCGTTTTGTATTAAATAAAAACAGTTATTTTTCTGTCTGATATACTTTTGTTCGGAATCAATCCATATAATAAAGAAATAATAGGAGAATATCAAGCTGGTTTCATAATAGGGAGATCAACAGTTGATCAGATTTATACAGTTAAACAAGAAGCTAAGAAAAGTCACGAGTTCAATAAAGATGTGCACCTTGGATTACAAAGCTGCATGCGATTCGATTAACAGAGAAAAAGTATGGAATGTCATGATCCAAATGGAAATACCTGCAAAATTAGTCAGAATGATAAAAGCATGTACATATGAATCCAAAAGTAAAGTAAGGTTTGGAGTAGAGGTATCAGTAATCAGATAATTTTCCAGTAACGACAGGACTCAAACAAGGGGTCGCTCTATCGCCAGCACTGTTTAATATTGCATTAGAATCAGATATGCGAAAGGTACTAATACAAGCCAAAGGAATAAAAATGGATAACAATAAAGAATTAACCGTAGTAGCTTTTGCTGACGATATAATTCTTATAGCTGAAACAGAAAATGCACTGAGAAACACAACTAGCATCCTATTACATGAAGGTAAAGAGATTGGTCTGAAGATAAACGAGTCAAAAACAAATTTTATGATACTTTCGAGACGAAATCACAACTCTATTTATTTAAAAGTTGATGATTACAAATTTGAAAAGGTACAGAGCTTCAAGTACCGAGGCGCAGAGATCAATGAAAATGCTAATAGCCATATAGAAGTTAAAAAACGACTTATGGCAGCAAATAGAAGCTACTATAGTTTAATGTTATTATTCAAATCAAGATTACTATGAATAAAGTCTAAAATTAAGCTATACAAAGTCATAGTTAAACCAATTGCTCTATATGTATGTAGATGCCAAAAGATGAATAAAAGTTAGAAGTGTTTGAAAGAAAGATATTAAGGAAAATCTTCGGCCCAAAGTGAAATAACGATGGAGGGTATAAAATAAGAAACAATGAAGAGTTGGATAATCTTTATAAAGTGCCTACCATTATTGGAACCCTAAAAAGTACAATGATAAGTTGGGCAGGGCACGCATGGAGATCAGGAGAAATAATTAGATTAATAACTAAATGGAGACCCAACACTAAGAGACCTAGAGGACGGCCTAGATAAAGGGAGATAGTTAGAATACAGGAAGACTTAAAATTTCTGAATGTAAGGAACTCAGAAGAATGTGCGAGAGAGGTGGAGACAATATGTCGTTGCGGCCATGGGCCTTGAAGAACTTTAAAAGCCCAGAAGAACAAGAAGAATTAATTTTCCATTCATTTTAATAATTATAAATGTTTAATAGTAAAAATGTTTAAAGCAATCATTTCGGTTAATAATATTGTTCGGGTATCCGATTTACATGATAGGCCAAACATTATTTAGGATGGATCAAGGATAACAAATTTAGATTTAGTCTTCATATAATAGTCTAAAGACTATGATGGGCATTGCTCTATAGCTTATAATTTAGGTGGTAAGGAGCAGTGTTGGGCAAAATCGTTATCTAGAAAAAAGGTTCAAATACGAATAAAAGATAAAAAATTAAAACTGGTACTCAAAACTTAATATGATCATTCTAAATAGATGTCAATAAAAATGTTGTCATGATTTGAAAATATTTTCTTAAGATTTAACGTGTTTACGTTAAATTACACAAAATCTGCACGAAACACTGTTTTCCGGTAATTAAAGAAAACCTGTAGTCCCGAATTATATTTTATTTTAATATGTTATGGATCCAGTAAGTTGTAGATAACCTATACATTTGCTAGATAAATACAAATTATTGTATAATATTTCTTAGCAATGATGTTTAAAACCGTGTGTTTTTAATTTTACCACTGATTTGAACCTACTGTCACCAGAATGCGAAGCGTTTGTTTAAAAGTTATTTTATCACATTCAGTTATAATAATTCCTGTAGATTTGGTGGGTATATAAGTTTTACGGTAAAATATTCGGTTGTTTTCTGATCGTTATAATTATTTTTTTTTTTTAGATACAAAACACAGTTAAAAAATTGTTTTTAAGAACTTGCTATTATAATAAGGTCACAGCAGATGTTATTTTAGTAGATTTTATTTCCTGACTTAAAGCAAATAGCCTACATCTGAAGCTTATAATATGTATCATGGTAATATGGAATATAATATCCAGGAACATAACAAAATATGTTTTCTCGCGCTTGTGTCAACGCAACACCAAAGACCCGAAGAAAAATACTTCTCTGCTGTTTATCCGTCGTTCGTCTTTGGTGCCAACAGTACAGCTATACTATTACAAGTATTCAATTAATGTTTGATTATTATTTTTAAAAAAAATAACCTAAACTATGCATAATTTCAAGATCGCCCTTATTGTCTGCGCGGTGTGTTTTATAACGTCGACATGGGTAAGAGTGTATGATACTATATATTTATTATTCGTATCGGATGTAATAAACTGATATATGACATAAATGTTGTTATATACTAACAAAATATGTGTGTAAATCTGCCACGTCATCGGGAATAGGTTCACTCAGTAAGTTTACCAATACAATTGATAGTCGTCATACTTTATTTTAGAGCTACGGGCTGAACAGTGATCAATTGAATCGGTTGAATAAACTGTTTGAAAATCACAAAACGTCTACCGGCGGTGTTAGCGAGAAGCAAATCGCAGACGTCGTGGAGGAAACCTTTGGAATAAAATGGGAACAAGTTCTAGTTGACTTTGAATACGTGTCAGGTATGATAAACATTTATTATATTATTTATTGTTTGAAAATAAAAGTCGACCGTTATGGGCTTTGAGCTTAGTTAATTAATATTTGTCAATATTAGTTGAAATTAATGGCTAATACCGGCCGATTCTTTTAACATGCTACATTAGATTACAAGTTTTAACAAAATTACAATTTTCTAGTATTTTTTTTTCTTTTGGAAACATTTTGTACACATTCTTTGGCTTGATTTTAGAAAATATTCATCTTTTTATTATTTAGTGAAGCTTTGCCGACTTTTAATTTTTAATGATTAGTAACATATATAATATTTAATTATATTTAAACTTGGTGAATAAAATGACTGGGCGATATCCTATTTTGAATTATTATTTTTAAAGTTATTTAGGTTTAAAAACAAGGATGGAATGTGCAGTTTGGTTGCCTTTTGCTTGCAGATAAAATTAACTTTATACTGCCTCTTGACTCTTCATTACCGTTTCTCCTTGTCCTAAATTTTTACTGTTCCTAAAGTGATTTTTTAATAGCGAATGATTTAATTATTAACTACTAATCAATTTGTGTACAGATGATTCCGATTCTACAAATTTATATTCCTTATTGAGGCCATTGGCGCAACAAGACAACAGGAAATCCGACGAAATTGAGGTATTTAAGTCCCCAATCAACTAGTTTAAACTATACCTAACTAAAATATATACCAAGTATTGTCAAATATAGAGAATACGTTTTTTTTTGTTTTTTTTTCATACAATTATTACTAGAGTTATAAATTAGCTGAAATTGGATATATTTTCCAACAATATAACCCTATCCCTTATGGGTCGAACCCTATGATGAATTCAAAATTTTAAAATGGCTATGTTATTCGGGGCAATTTATTAAGCATAAGACACTCATTCATTCTTGAAATAATCGCGATTTTGTAGTGTTTTTTTTTTCCAGAGAAAATTAGTATCTTATCTTTAACAAAACCCTCTGTGAATTAAATGTTAATCAAGTTAAAAATTTAAGACGGCAGATGGAAAACGCTTCAAATGATATTCAACTCTATTATCGTTAAAATTAGTTGCTCAAAACTGGGTTTTGACCAGTCGAATTTGCAGCAAATAATTTGCTATTAAAAAAATGATTAACATACATACGTTACCGGTAAAAATTCTTATGACATTACTCATACGGGATAGTGTTTATTATTTTTTTTTTTAGAAAATATGATTAAAAAAAAATTAGGTGAACTGTAAATTTTAAAATAATCATTTTAAGAAGTCCAAAATATTTTGAATGATAATGGCTGGGCCATTGCTGTTAAAAGCAATCATCCTGTATGTATAAATGGTTTTCAGGTTAAAAGACTTACGCCTTTTGAAGTAGACTTTTTCCTGGAGGAGTTCGGTACATGCGCTGAATCTCATGATCAACTGAAATATCTTACTATTCAACAGCTGTCGGAAACATTCGACTACTGGAAAACAATAAGTGTTGCATTGCACGAAAAATTAAAAAAACTTAAAACCGAAAACAAGCCGAGGTGGTTCCCTGTTTTTAACTATAAACAAGATAACCGTTTAGTTAACGCGGCCGACTTCTTATTGATCATGTTGGAAATAAAACCAGATGTAAGTGCAATACTCAAGATAATATTTAAAAAAATAGAAGGAAAATAAAATTTGTGGTCTTCGACTTTAAAACTTAAGCAACAAAAGTAGTTATCCAAAACTGGTTGATTAACAGTCATAATATTCAGAAATTTATTCTTAAAAAAATGGCCAGCTGGAAAATCAATTTAAAAAAAAAAACCCAAAAATATTCACTAGAACAAAAGTTATTTTGACTGTCAAATTTTTATAAAACACTGTATATATGAACTGTTGATACGTTACAGTTTGTTACATAACAAAATGCAAATTCATGAGAGTAAATTTTTGCAAATTACTCTTATAAGATCTAACAATCTTATAATAATCACCAGTATGTAATAACAGCTGTAACCTCATTGCTGTAAAACATGTTAAAGATCTAGGAGTTTTTCTATCTGGTGATTCATTATTTTACCGAAACACATCAAACATATTTGGAATAAAGCTTCACGTACATTAGGATTTTTAAGAAGAAATTTTAATGAATTTTAAATTATCGCATGCTTAAAATTTTTATATATTGCACTTGTTCGGTCTATTATGGAATATGTCTCCATGTTATGTGACTTGTGATATTAATAAGATTGAATCTTTACAACATGGATTTTTAACTTTTTCATCTTACAAAACAAATAATAAAGCAATTAAACATGATAAATTGCTTAATAATCTAAAAATGCATTCTCTTTTATGCAGAAAAAAATATCTGGATGTTTACTGGGTGTAAAATTTACTCAATAATAGAATTAATTGTCCAGAAATGTTTAATTTAATACCCATAAATGTTCCACAAGTATCGCTTCGATCCTCTCCTAGGTTTTATATACCTATCTATGCACAGAATTACAGTAGCAACTCGCCGGTAAATCGCATGCTTAACATATGCAATAAAACTAGTAACTTTGACTTCTTTCATGATTCATCAACTTTATTATGGTCCACATGTTGTAATATTTATAAATCTCAATATTGTATACTTATGCTCATTATTTACTCATATTTGATACTTTATTGTTTACTTATGTAATTATTCCATTACTAGGTTGTTTTTACTATTTACTATTTTACTCATAATTTAAATTTACAAACTTATTCTATAATATGTTATTTATACTTTCAGTACTGTTTGTCCTATGGGCGTTATCATCCATATGATGAATAAATAAATAAAAAAATATTAATCTTGGGGGGGGGGGAGAATACTTGTATTAATGCTTTTTTATACATTATAGGGCCGTGGTCTGAATCTAGCACAAATAGGTAAGTTTGCTAGTTTATACAAAACACATATGAGAGCAGCCGGTGGCATTAATCCTTTTGCAAGTAGAAAAATGTTTGAAGATCTTGGCATACCCACAAACGACGAATTGCAAAAGCTATTTGAATCCACCCGTAAGCATTTTTTTTTTGTATTGTATTATTTATAGGTGTATGACGAGTAATTTGTGAACTATTAATTTTATTAAAACTCGCACAGGACCCGCTGGAAAATTGTTGATGGATTTAATCCTCGTTGCAGCAGAACGCAACCAGAAGGTCGATGGGGTAAATGTAATACGCGGTTCACAATTAATTTTAATATACAGAGTGATAATTTTATCGCGAACCACTTAATATCTCATTGGGTTTAATTGATAATTACAATTTTTTTTTTTCAATTTGACCTTATTGAAATCACATCAAATAAAAACACTATGAAAAAAAATTTGACCATATGAGGTTGAGCTTGAGTGGTTCGCGATAAAACGATCACACTGTATTTCAAAGTTCTTCGCTGTTATGTCCGTTATACTACTATCTCTCCTTCTATTTAATAATAACTATTAAACATTTTTACGTTAACAATTATTTAGAAATTACCGGTATTAAGTCTATGCGAGGTCGTAACTGCCATACGAGAATTCATTGGTCTCGACCTTTCCAACGACGGTGTACTGGTGCCTAAGGAGTATGCCAACTACGTGGAAGAGGCAAAACAATTTTTGGAAAGGTCGGCACATCCTACAAAAAATGTGCGACGTTATTTAAAGAAATTCGATGGTGAAGTTAATTTTAATAGCGTTAAAATGTTTTAATTAATGACGTTGATGTTGGTCGTCTCTTGTTAAAAAAAAATAATTAATTTTCCTTTTTTAGGTATTAATAACAGAAACGTAGCGGATTTCATGCAAGTTGTATTGTTCATTGATAAACATACCGAACACTGTCCCTATGACACTAAACACTAGCTCCGTCGAAGATAGTACTCACAAGCTTTAACAACATTAATCGGGCATGTTCAACGACCATAATGATAGTGATAATAATATTTTAAACATTTCTATGTATTTATTAATGATTTAAATACTACGCTTGTCGATGTCTATGATTATCTTATTTCTATTAAATAATAATTACAAACAAAAAAAATTCAGTACCTACATTTTTTTGTTTTTATTTAATTGAAAACCTATTGCTACATTTTTACTAAATTTGGGTCACGCACAATTCGAAATCTAAATGTGATATCATCACAATCAAACGCTTAGATGCCATTCTAAAAATAGTACATATTAAAAAGGTCATAAACCTCAAAAGTTTAAACCAGCACAGTTCAAACCAAGCACAATCAAAACCAACTCAGTGTAAACCAAGCACAGTATAAACCTACTCCAAGTGAAGTAGAGGGATGATATTTTGATCGGATAATAATAATTAATAAAGGCATGCCTCTTAAATGATTAAATGCCAACAAATGTTAAAGATCTTGTCAGAGATCTGTGTGGCTAAAGAAAAATGTAGCTTAAATATTTATTTTTTTTTTAAATTCATATTTTGTATCTTCTTGGAGAGTTCTTTGAAATGAGCTTAGAATCAAATTTTTTATCCCTTATAGTTTAAAAGAAATTTAAAAATTAGGCGGTACCTGTTAGTGCCTCTTGGAACGTAATAATATTATCCGGTAATGACTAGAAACTAATAAGATAACGTTGTGTGAGCTGGTTAGTTAAAGCTTATGAAGAGTATAATATTATGGTAACTAAAATGATTTATTACAACAACAGTTTATAAATCGCAACAATAAAAATGAACAGTTAATATTAACATAGACTGAGCTCCTGTGGCTGACTAGATAATAAACAATGGTTGAGTCTATGTCTATTGACCAAACTTTCACTAAATAAAAGAAGAGCTCATAAATTTGTTCTAATTATTCACTATAGGCACCTTCAAATAGTAGTAGTCAAGCAAAAATAGTATTGTATTTTGTGTTATTATACATTTAAACTTTTTCCTGGCATGGAAAACTGTTCATACATATTTAGATACTCTATTAAATTTGAAATAATTTACATATTATGGCATCGTTTACCAAGGAAATTATTTTTATCTTATATTAAACTCGTGACTAAAGCAAAAATATCAGATTAGGATATGTACATTGTTTAGCAAGTGTTGTTATTCAGACTATGTAAAAACAGATTTATTAAGGTATGACGCAAAATACAATGTTATTTGTAATACAACAAAACAATATATAAAACTAAAACACTCAATGTACATTAGAACATAGTTTCATATTTTTACAATTTTTATTTTATTCTCATTTACAACTATTGTTGCCATAATAAAAAAAAAATTTGTAAAAAAACTCCTTCCCCAATATGGCAACCCTTGTCTCTTTTAGAACAAGAGTTGTACAACCGAGCTAAAAAGATCGTAGACTAAAAGAAAAAATGCAATTATCAACAAATCTTTGAAACATATTTACAGATGTTGTATCGCCAATACATTTTAAATGAACATTTTATTTAGTTTTTTTTAAATAATATAAATTTTCCAATCAATAGAAAAAAGCCCTGGATGTCCTGGATTCTCTATATTTTTAGATTTGCGTCGAAGCGTTACCATTTAATATTGTAATACTGTAGTCTAATAGTTGTCATTTTTAAGAGTTCAAAGTTAATTTACAAAATTCTCCTTTAAAAATTAAAATAAATCCTAGATTACAAACAACTTGTATTTGAAGCTAGAAAAATAACATATCAAATTGTGTCGTCCTACTACAGAAATATTTTACTTACTTTATTACTGTATTCATGTAATAAAATATTATTTATAATAATAATTATTTTGTGTAATATACTCAATACTGTTTTATTTTTAACCTTTTCTCTTAAAATAAAGTGTGAAGTATGTATTATATTTAAATACAATTAAACTGTACTTATAAGTAATAAGTTATTAAAAAGAAACATTGCAATAGTTATTACTAACTAGTTATCAATAATAGTTTTCTTTTGTTGTTAGTAAACCGTCCTGTAGTTTTAGTGAAATCGGTCTAATTAAATGTTTTTTTTTTTGTAATTTGTAAATATGTGAGTTATGTTATAAACGAAAAATGTTCTTTAATTGATTTTCTGGTGGTTTTTTAAAGTTATCTACAATTAATACGTCATTTATTGTGTCGCTTACGTTTATAAGAGGCTCTTTTTATTTTATTATAAACAGTTTTTGAGTTAATGAAAAAAACCTTACTTGTTTGCGTTATCGGCCGTGGATAATGGATAATGGCCTTCTATGGAGTGCTACATAGCAAGTTTGGAAAATTAAGACAATTTCAAGATTATTACAGTGACATCGTGCTCGAGCAAAATATGATCCCTTAAGAGCCTTTATAAAACACATTGAGAATATGAAGCTCTGCAATACCCATTGGACTATGTTCCTACATAGTCCGAATAACACTTTTTAGACTATGTACACTGTACGTGACCGGATATATTTGCTTTAATCATGAGTTTAATAAAAGATAAAAAAATAATTTTCTTGGTAAACGATGCCCATATGTACAATTTAATACAAATTATTTGAATTTTAATAGAGTATCCAATTATGTACAACGTTCCATGCCACGACAAAGTTTAAATGTTTAATAACACAAAATATAATAATATTATTTTTACTACTACTATTAGAAGTGTGAATTATGATCTCTTCTTTTATTCTGTGAAGTCAGGTCGATCGACGCATGGTTAATCGTACCATCGTTTATTATCTAGTCAGCCACAGGGGCTCATTCTATGTTAGTATTAACTGTTTATTTATATTATTGTGATTTACAAAAATTATTGTTCTAATAAAACATTTTAGTTACCATAATATTTTCTTTTTCATAAGCTTTAACTTACCAACTCACACAACGTTAGAAGCCCCTACAGGTACATATACAAACATGACGTCAATCATAGAATAAATGTATTGTATAGACCATTAATGCAATATTATAATTTGACTATTATTTTTTACTTAAGATAGATATTAGTCTTGGCTTAATATAGCATAATATATTATAGATGGATCAGATTTCCTACCCATGCAGAATAATGGTTGAATTTGAAAAAAGTTTGTGGGTTTAATGTTATGAACGCCTAATTTCAATTTTCTTTAAATCTATAAGAAATAAAAAGTTGATTCTAAACTTAATGAGAGCTCTTTTATATGACGAAGAAGATACAAAATATGAATTTAAAAAAAAAATGGAAATTGTAGCTAAATTTTTCTTTAGCAACGCAGATCTTTGATACCGATGAACGGCTATTGTAGTTTAAGGTTTTTAACATTTGTTTTAAGATGAGGCATGCCTCTTTTAATAATTTTTCTCAGACTAAAATATCATCCCACTACTTCGATTGGAGTAGGTTTATACTGTGCTTGGTTTGAACTTTGCTGGTTTATGATCTACTTATTATCTAACATTTTCAGATTCGCATCCAATCGTTTGATTGTGACGATATCACATTTAGATTTAAAATTGTGCGTGACCCAAATTTAGTAAAAATGTAGCAATAGGTTTTTAATTAAATAAAAACAAAAAAATTTAAGTACTGAATTATTTTCGTTTGTAATTATTAATTAATAGAAATAAGATAATCATAGACATCGACGAGCGTATTTATATTATTGGGGTTTTTTTAATTTTGCACTAGTTTGAACCAGTGATCGAAAATGCTATTATCAACATATTATTATTGAAACATATTTACAGATGTTATATCGCCAATACTATGTAAATGAACATTTTTAATTGGCTTTTTTACAAATAATATTTCGCTTTATACATGCAGTACAAAACTTCAGTCGGAAAATAAAATCTGCTGGGACCCTATTACAATAGCAAGTTCTTAAAAAAAAAAACAATTTTTGAACTGTGTTAAGTATCTAAAAAACAATAATAACTAACAGAAAACACCTTAATGGTTTACTATTAAGCTTTACATACCTACCCACCTTATAAGCTATTTATTTAACTATTAGAAGGGTGTAATATTATTTTTATATGCGTGCATTATACCTACAACCGCATTCCGATTACCGTTCTAAATTTACAAATATAATAACTTTAACAATTGTTATTCAGAAATCCATTCTTAACTAAACAACATAAATATATTTATAGTATATACGTTACCGTTTAAGAGTCAACATTTGATAGCGCTTTGAATAGTCATTAAAAAGTTAAATAATTATTAATTTCATATAACATGAACAACACTCGAAGAAGAAAAAAACTACAGAAACGCAATAAGTCTGAAGAGACATTAAGTGTCCTACGTTAAATATAATATCACCCTGTACATATGAAAATGGCGTTTCGCCGTTTAGCTGCTACGAAAAATGATAGATTCCGCCTGTAAGCGTGTAAAACGATTTTTTTGTAACCCAAAAAAATATGTTATTGGGAATCGTGTGTTTGATCGAGAGTAATGCACACTATGACTTATGTATGTTCGTGCCTAAGAACCTGACACTGAGCGCTGACCTATAAAGTATAAAGTGAGCACTACCATGTAAAACTAGAAAAAGAAATGTTACGATACAAAAAAAAACCGATTAATTTCGGAAATTATAATATTACTGAGAGGGATAGAAAATACTATCGAATAAACGCATTGAACGCATAGGGATAGTAAATATTGATAAAAGCAAAGATTGTTTTAACAGCGTTTGGACCTTGAAATTTTAAAAAGTTCCAGCCTCCCCTTGAAAACGTTGACTAACCAAAAAAATAACCCTCCCCTAAAATGGGTGGAAACTTTTTCTTTATTTCACTTTTAGTTTTATGGCTTAAGGTCTGAAATTGATGTAGACTGTATGTAGATCTTTAGTGAAGCTTTAATATGGTATAGGATTTTCACAAAAACTATGTAGTCAAACTTTATTTTATTAAAAAAAATCCTAAACAAGTCATCAGTCAATCAATATTGTTTTATTGTTAATAATTGACCTACCCTAATCGCATCCACCCTAATTCT